TGGTGAATATATACTTATTTGTTAAATATTTTCTGTATCAAAAATGATTTATAATAAAAAGAAAATCAATATGACTATGGAAGTATTTCTTATTTTTATTTTTATTTGCTACTAAAAGAAATGTGAACTTTGGGAATGCAGTTCAGATATGCAGAGTTATCACTAACAAGCTGTTTGAGCAGCAGTCAATGGGAATCAGTTGAAAGCATAATTTTAATTTTTTCCCAAATGAAGAACACTTTGTATTATGACTAGCTTATTCTAAGAGAAAAATAAATAACAAGGAATAGCCTTTATAAAATACCCAAATAGATATATTAGAAGAGCAAACATCATATGTAACAAGGAACTGTTCCAAGATCAATGTGAGAGTTTGAAACCAAATAAAAACTAACACAGTTTTCTGATAAAAATTATTGCCCCCTAATAATTACACAGGTCATAAAATAGTTACTACTGTTCATTGCTTACATATGGCTGACCAAATTCCAGTAGCTATGGTATCAGCTTTTCAAATCTTTGATAACTTCTCTCATTAGCCTCGGGGACTTTGAAGTATTGTCACTTTGGCTTATTTTATAAGGTACACAGAACCTCATTTTATCCCTTTCTCTACTCTTTTGACAAGCTTAAGATAAGATGAAAGGATCAAAGTAGCATATTGGACATCTGGTTAATATATCTCAAAGGGGTGTGCTTTAGTGATAACTCTCCAGTGAGACACATTTCAAGGCTATTTTTGACAAGGGCCCTGCTGAACCATCTTCCAGGAAACCTCTACATTTTGCCATCCTTAGAACAAATATACTGTACTCCTGCAAAGCGATAATTTCCTCCTTGTATTAATTCTGAGAATAACCATACTAAGGCTTATATGTAAACATCATTTGATTCAGAAGGCAATAGGGATAAAAAGTACAAGTTGGACATCTTATCCTTTGGCAAAGAAGACTCCTTAAATCAGCCTTGATTATTCCATGAGTAAAGATTCTCCTCTTATCACCAAGAAGTGGATTGTAAGTAACACAAAAATAGCTTAATAAATACAGTATTTGAACAAACTTCTCATTGCCTGGTTAATAAATAGTGTTAGGAAGAACAATTACAAATAAAATAAAACAACTCGACATTAGGGAGTTTAGTGAGTTGTCATATGAAACAAGTTTTACATTGCAGTTTGGAATATTATAACCTTAAGGTTTATTATAAATGTTATATTATTTCAGTTAGAAACACAACATAACCAAGTTTCAATAATAAACTCATCAAAGGACCTGAGCTTAACTGCCTTATACCTGGTAATGAGGCAGATTCAGGGATGTAGTAAACCAAGCACAGCTTGGAAAGGATAAGAGAAGTTATGAAGAGCCACCTCCAATGTAACCTCTGTCTTTGCCGATTTCAGGCTCTTCTTTGATGGGGCCTGAAGCAGATCACTTTACAGATAAATGAGGACTCAGAGGCTTTTCACCCTCAAAACTGTTTAAATTCTGCTTTGGAAGGTGGAATCTGATGACTTGATCACTCCTCTTAACTGTGAAGACATGAATTTTTTCTGACTGGACACAGAATATTGATTACCCCATTGTATTTCCTTGTTTTTATTTATTTGTTTATATAGTCATATATAAGCATGCACAACAGTCGAGCATGTCAGACATTTTATTATTTATTTATAATACTTCAATATTTTATTTGAATCTGTAAAATTTATTTTAATGTGTATATGTATATATGAGTCTACATAATAAATATTGTTCTGTTCTGTTACCATTGCTTATGGTAATAATGGCAAAACTATTAATACATATGTATGATCTTTGAATGGGAACATTAAACTGTAATTTTCTGCTTGGCAAATTTTAAACATATAGAAAAGTAGAAAGCAAGAATGAATATCTTTGTATCCTCTGCTTAGATCCAGCGATTGTTACCTTTTACAATATTTACTTTGTTTTTCTCTCTCCAACTTTTCTGTCTCTCTATGCAGGTGAATGGGTGTGTACACACATACACACACACACACACACACACACACACACACTTTTTCTTGAATAATTTGAAATTTGCAGACATCCTGATGTTTCACCTGAAAATATTTCATCATAAATATCAAATGTATCAGAAAATTCTCTACTTAGCTATAATGCCATTATCACAAGAAAGAAAATTACAATTCTGGCATAATCAAATATTAGTCCATATTCATATTTCTACAATTTTCCCCCATACAAATTACTTTCTTACCCAAGACCCAATTAAGGTTTACTCACTAGATTTGGTTGTTATATCTCTTCAGATTCTTTTAATCTAAAACCATTTTTTCCTTCTGGATACTGAATTTCCCAAGAGTTCAAGACATATTCCATTTGGGATTTGTGATTGCTAGTGTTAACTTCTCAAATAATTCTTTTAATATAGTAAGTTTGTTTCCGTAATCATCTTAACTATTACATTTGCGTGATTTTTTTTAAACTTTAAAAATTACCACTGAGTTCTCACTATAGTAATAACATTATTTTATATATTTTTAATATAAATTTTGTGGAAAAAATCCTGTTTTTTTTCTTTTTAGCAAAAGAATCTGTTGGCTATATTTCTTCTTACATTAAATTTAAGACGTTCTATTGACATTTTGACCCTGAGGACTTGAATTAATTATGAGCTTAATTTCATGACCTCATCACAAATCTCTACTGTAGACACCTGAACACAAGATGGTGTATTACCATAATAGTGTGTGTTAGTCTATTTTGTGTTGCTCCAAAGGAAATATGTGAGGCTGAATGATTTATAAAGAAAAAGAGATTTATTTGGCTCACAGTTTTGCATACTGTACAAGGAGCATGGCACCAGCATTTGCTTCTTGTGAAGACTTCAAGGGGCTTCCAATCAAGGCAGGAGGTGAAAGGGGAGCAGGTGTGTCACACGGTGAGGGATGGAGCAAGTGTGGGAGTAGGTGGTACCAGCCTCTTCAAACAACCAGCACCACCAGGATGGCACCAAACCATTCATGAGAGATCCTCCCTCATGACCCAAACACCTCCCACAAGGCCTCACCTCCAACATCGGGGTCAAATATCAACACGAGATTTGAAGGGCACAAACATTCAAACCATATCTTAGTGTAAGAGTCAGGGTCCACGGAAATTCTCAGCCTAACTTTTTCCTGGACTGGCCAAACTGAACCCAAACTATAGTGTATGATCCACACGGTATGTTTGTCTGAGGCTCCAAATTGCCAACTCAGAAGTAAACCTGACTAAAAGAACTTTCCTCGGTTTGCCCACACAAAGCTGCCCATCTTCCCAACAAGAATGTAATGAAAATAGCTTTTAATTTACAGCCAAACAAAAAGCTAGCAAGGAAGCTCATGAGCAGACAAGGAATAGGGAGCATCCTGATGCAGTAGAGGTCTGACTTAATGCAATACAGGGTTATGTTTACAACTTCATACAGTGCCTGTTATACCCTTCTGTAACTACTGTTCATGTTTCCTTTGCTCTACATCATTTGAATGTGGTTTTTCCTTTTACCTTGTGTTTGTTCATTGCCTCTCATTCTACCACATTGTTGTTATTCACGAAGGAAGCTCCTTCTTGCCAAAGACTGGCAAGGCAAGTTCATTCATCTGATTTTCCTCAAGATCTTGGCTCATTTATCGACTTGTCAGATAACCCTAAATTTTCTTCAAAACCAGACACTGTGCATAAGCAAGAACCCTGCACCATCACTACTGCTGTTAGCACCAGTTCTTTCTATGCTCTCAACTATGATACTTATAATTCCTGTACCAGCCTCCACTTAACACCTAGCATTTATTTACTCTTACTAGACAAGGTAGAAAAATATGTTTGTCTAGAGAAGTGAGTTCTTAAGAGATCAACCAGAAGATCTCCTCCATTGGATGTTCATCACAAAAAGTTGAATACCACGTTTCATGCCATAGGCACCTGACCAGAAAGAGACAGAGAAAAAAGCAAACTTCATCCATTCCTGGGGAAAGTCCTGGCCTACAAACGGGAAAGAGGCAACATCTGGGACATTTCCCAGGCTTTACCAGGAAGAGTCTCTGCCCCATAGCAGGAATTTTCTTGAATCAAAGCCAAGCACTTTATATGACCCTGGTCCTGTATATACTTTCCTGTTATTGGTTTAAATGCCCCTCCCTCAGATTCTCCTATAAAAGCCCAGTCTTTCCTGACTGAACAAACTATTCCAGATCCCTGCAAGACAGGTAAGTGGGAGCTGAGATATGAGACCCATGGGGGATTTTACCTCACACATCACAGGAGAAGGTGCAGTAGGGTCCCTTCCTCAGTAACACAGGAGGAGCTCTGTGACTCAGCACAGCTTTCCCCGTAGGACTCAGGGGTGGAGGGTACAGAGATGCAGCAATGCATCCCAGAACTACAGAAGGAGACAAATGTGACCAAGATCAATTTATTCCTAGGGGACTAGATAAAGGAAAGGACAAGGGGCAGTGCGTCTCTGAATTCCTCCCTCTGACCACACTCCTGCAGTGCCCTCTGACTCCTCCCCACGCCTCAGACACCATGCTGTCTCCCAGGGCCCTGCCCAGCCTTGCCTGGGTGCTGCTCTCCTGCCTGGTGCTCCTATCCCAGGTCCAAGGTAAGCATTCTCTGCCTCTAGCACTGGGTTCTTTGTGAGCGCTCAGAGCCAAGGAGGGCAGGAAGGCTCCTGTGTGTCTCCTGTGGTAATGGTGAGCTGCATCCCCACACGGGGAAACTCCCTGCAACTCCTCCATCATCACTCCTCCCTTTGGGTTAACGGGTGGCGGGGGACACCACAGGGGCCCATTGACAGTGGAATGAGATGGCTTCGCATTTTGTCAGTGCACTCTGATTACTACTGGTGGGGAGAAGAAGTAAAGTGTGAAGGATCAGTAATAAAATTTGGGAAGGGGAAAGGATTGGAGGACCCAGTATAGAGACAGTCAACCCATAGTGAGGGGAGTGTTGGACTATTGAATAAGGAGAAAGGGTAAAAAGAGACCAGATGGTCCCCCATTTAGTACACCTGTTTAGAGGCCAAGAATTCCTGAATATGTGAGCAAACATGAGAGGGAGTCAGGAATGTGATCTTCTTCCCCAAGGACAAGCCTCAGAGACATGTCCCAAGGTCACCTCCAACTCCAATCCCCACACTTCATTTTAGCCGATCCCTCCCCTTTATCTCCTCCACCCCAGGTGAAGACTCCCAGAAGGAAGTACCTTCTCCACGGATCAGCTGTCCCAAGGGCTCCAAGGCCTATGCCTCCCACTGCTATGCCTTGTTTACAACACCCAAATCCTGGATGGATGCAGATGTGAGTGGTTAAATGTGAGGTTGGAGGTGACAAGGGAAAGTCCATGTGTGTCTCGGGGGAGGGGTCTTTATTCTCAGGAGCTCCTTGGGAATGAGACGAACCCTTATTTTTCAGACAATCCTTCTCTCAGCCACCCTTTCCCCGCCCTCCCCCGGTGAAGTCTCAGGCTCCCTCTTTTTCTCTCCCTTTCCCATACAGCTGGCCTGCCAGAAGCGGCCCTCTGGACACCTGGTTTCTGTGCTCAATGGGGCTGAGGGATCCTTCGTGTCCTCCCTGGTCAAGAGCACTGTGACCACCTACTCATACGTCTGGATTGGGCTCCACGACCCTACTCTGGTGCGCTTGTATCCTCCCCTCTCTTCTACCTCTCAGGTGGCCATAGTCACCCAGGCCCACTCCTTGTTCCCTGTACCAGCCCAGGAAGTGCCACAGGAGCACTGGAGATCAGATTCTGAGGGACGTTTGAGGGAAAGGGAAGTCCTTGAGGCCAAGAGAAGAGATGGGTCCTTTGGAGGTCGCCAGATCTCAGATGAAGTTAATCTGCCTCTTGTCAAGTGTTTTACACAGTTCTCACACAAGGTCTTGTAAATCAGTTCTCTGAGCTTCAGGGAGTGTGCACATACCGTTCTGAGGGAATCCTAAAGGATCAATTTTTGCCCCGTATAAAACAGACACTGTCTTTGAGGTTCCGAGGCTAATCACGAATGCACCACCAATTATTGTTCAGCAAGTAACATACTACATTGAGTAGTTCAAGAGGTCTTGTGATTATTGGCTGGGATTTGCCAGTAGGAACAAGCAGTTAAGGAAGAGCTTTCCAATATACAGGGCTCTGGGGCAGCATCTGGAGGAGCAGACCCAGTTCCCAGATGCTGGGAGGGAGTCAGGTGTTGCAGCTAAGGGAGAGAATAATGTTCCAAGAAGAGTTGAGAGACAATTCTCCGTGTGTCTCTTTTCGTTTCTTCACTTCTTGCAAACGGAGGCACTGACTGCCGTGTGTTTTAGTTTACCTTTCAAGAATGTTTGTGTAGTAAAGAGCCTTTGAAAATAGAGATGGTATCTTCCTTCAAAGCAAAAGGCAGGTTTGCTGAAAGTCTTACAAGATAAAAGATTGCGATTTCATCCATCTCCAACAAGGAGAGCTGTAGTGTCCGCTCCCTTCACCTGGCTGCCTCCTCCGCTCCACAGGGCTCTGAGTCCAATGGGGGTGGATGGGAGTGGAGCAGCACTGACCTGCTCAACTACCTTGCCTGGGAGAAAGATCCCTCCACCATCACCAACTCTGGCCACTGTGGGAGCCTGTCGAAAAGCACAGGTAAGAAATAGAGAAGCCGCCTCTTCCCAGCCTTTTCCACCCATCCTCCCCCCTTCCTGGGCCTGACTTTCAGGGAATTTTTCTGAGCTAGGAAAAGCAATATTTGTTTGTCTTCTCCCATCTCCTATCATCTCTTGTTTTTGTGTGTCTCCATTCCCTGGCTAACATGCAGGAGAGGCTCTATGTCCTAAGCCAGAACCTGGGAAACCTCTTCAACGGGTTTGCAAGCTTTCCCAGCCCCATTCCTTTCATGTCTTCTGTCTCTCCAGGATTTCTGAAGTGGAAAGATTACAACTGTGATACGAAGTTACCCTATGTCTGCAAGTTCAAGAACTAGGCCAGGTGGGAAGTTGGCAGCCTGAGACTGGTATGCAGCTCATCATGGACACGGGACCAGTGTGAAGATTCACCCTGGAAGTGACATTCTTCCCATAAGCCCCAAACCTGATCATGTCATTCTGATTTTCCCTTTCTTTCCTCATCCCCACTCTCATTTCAGCCTCTTTGTTGTGTTTCATGGCCTGAGGCTTTAGGGAGCAACAATAAAATTTTTAGTCTGCCCTTGCACATTTTGTGTGTTCCAGTGTCATAGCAGATCCTGGGGAGGAGGAAGTGGTTGGTGGAAAAAATTCTGTGGGTCTTGCTCTGCCATACTTCACTCAGATTGCTGGGAAAAATGACTAAATGTGCATTCCTACCAGTATATTGTGGTGACGGTGCAGGCCCTACTCAGGAGGCACTTGGGTTGTAGACAGATAAGGATATTGCCCCCCTTTGCAAATAATACACACATTCACTGCCCACACATTTTCTTAGCCCAAGTCACTGATGATGTGTCATGAGCAGCCTTAGGAGGCTCTAATGGTGTTTAGAACAGTACTTCTCAGAGAATGCCATCAGCAAGATGGCAGGAAAGGACTTTACAGCACTTGTCCCTCACAGAAACAGCAATTTGAGCAACTACCCATGTACATGAAATACCTTCATAAGAACTAAGGAATCCAGGTGAGCGATTACAGCACCAGGGTGTAGCAAAAAGTAAGAAAAGATGCATTGAAGAGGTTAGTAAGAACAGTTTTACATTACCCGATTCGCCTCCCTCCTGGCCCACCCACCCCCATCCCAGGCAGCACAGTACAGAGACAGATACCCTATGCTTGGGGAAAGGAGAGTAAAGTAAGCACTCGACTTTATTGTGGACCTCAACACCAGGCTCACCGCAGTAAAATGTAGAGCCAGGTTGACCCCCATATCCTCAGACTCTAGACAGGTGCCCATGGACTGAGACTCCAGACTGCCTTAATGCCAGGCCAGTCCCTGCAGCCCCGGGCTCTAGGTAGGCCTCCATAGACTCAGGCTCCAGGTCAGTCCCTCTGGCGCCAGGCACCAGGATAGTTCCTAGAAACTGAGGCTTCAGGCCCGTCTTAATGGACCCAGACACCTGGTCCATCCCCGTGCCTGGCTAATCCATGCAGACATAGGTTCAAGGTTTGCTGTAGAACCAGGCTGGCCCCTGTAAACTCAGACTTTCAGGCAATTTCCTTCAGTTGTCTATGTGTATTCTCTCACTAAGCTCACTAGTTTTCTTTAAGACAATTATTTTAAATTCTCTGTCAGGCAGTTTGTAAAATTCTATTTATTTTAAAAAATATTTTCATTTTTTAATTTTTTTTGATCAAATAGCTCATATTGTAGTAAAATTCTATTTATATTTGGTTACTGGTGCTTTATTTTGTTCCCTTGGTGATGTTATGTTTCCCTGATTGTTCATGATGCTTGTAGCCTTACTGGTTTTGACCTTTTGAATAAGTAGGCATTTATTCCAGTCTTTACAGACTTGTTTCAACAGACAAAGCCCTTCATCAGTCAGCCTGGTTTTGGGCAGGCCATCTGGCTTGGTCTATTGGTGGGCTTGCTGCTGGAGTCCTCAGTCAGCGTGACTTGGTGCATGGGTCTCTGGGGTTGGCTTGGAGCCTGGGTCAATGCGTGCCAATCTGACATTGGGACCTATTAAGTAGGTATACTTGAGTGGGCCTAGAGACTGGATTCACGAGGGCAGCCCGAGATCCTGAAGTTAGGGACAGCTGCCACTTTCCAGTGTGCTCAGTGGCTTAAATGAGATAAGACTGAGCACCTCCCTATTGCACCGGCCCAAATATTTCCCCTCTACTTTGTCTTACCGTTCTGCACATTAACAGCACAGAGTTGCTGGTAGTCACTGACAGAATCATGGGAAACTTTTCTGTGCTATCCATTTCCTCCCACATACTCTGGGAAGACCCAGTATATCTCTCAAAACTACCTCCTCCATTGAGTGTTCTATTTTCTCCCCCAACAGCTCTACAGCCAAAACATGCATTTGAGAAACCCGGTGTCTGTGCTTACCCAGGCCAAGGGGGCCTTCATAACCTTGCTGATAAGGAGGTCTACCTAAAAATGCAGATCATCTTTGGAATTGGGTAATGGGCAGAGTCTGAAAGAGTTTGGAGGAACAGGCTAGAAAAAGCCTACATTGACATGAACAAAACATTAAGGGCTATTCTTGTAAGGGCTCACAACAGGTAAGCTTGTGAACTAAAATAAAATTATAAGGCTCACCCCCCACCAGCTGACTGAATGGAACCCCTCCTGGCCAAAGGGATATCCCAAAACTAAATTGCCTGCCAGGAGGAGGGAGGTCAGACATGCCTGATCATGAGCCTCCCCTTCTTGGAGACATCCTTTGTAACCCACTAACAAGCCTAAGGGTATACAAGACAAACCTGCAGGTCCTCAAGTTATCTGCAGGTCCACAACAAATCT